ACGGTTAGTATTGAATGAATGTGTACTTTGTGAAATTCATTTTCAGATGAATGCTAAAATGGATTGTGTTCACAATTTGATGTTGAATCCACATGTAAAAACATGGTACTGGATGATATGTGATAGTTTTGTAGTCTAGTTTTCAATTAATCTAGTATTCATAAAAAACAGTTTATTTAAATTTAAAAGAATTGCAGTTAATGGAATGATCAGTAAATTCGTAAAATATAGTGGAACAGAATTATTCCAATGAAAAACACTTCATTGCTCAAAAATGATATTTTGATGGGACAATTTCATATTGTTCATAGTAGTCGTTTGTCTACCTTAATGATAAGCATGACATGTAGAAGGACTATTCTAATTTCATGATTTCCATATATTTTATCAAATAGGCACAATATACAATAATTGGTATCACATAAATAAACTTACTTTGTACGATGTATTTGCATAGGAGCGATATTGTTCACGCATACATGAGAGTTTCATTTTGTATCGAACTTGATGACAATAAAGCAGAGAAACGATGTCCGTTTATTATAGTTTTGCATCAATCAGTACACCTTGAGATTCAACACAAACCAACAGTTTTATTGTTATCAAAATTGTAATCATTTTTAGTGCATGTTAATTATTAGTTTGCAGGTACAATGAACGATAGATAAACAACTTTGAAGGAAATAGAAACTCGAAAATCAGTATATTATTGCTAAATGATCAATCAGCATTTTTATAAATCAGAATGAAAGAACATAACAATAAAAACTTCACCTCTTGCTCTGCTAGGTTTACTGTCGTTCCCGCGCACGTATAAATGAGGAGGGTTGGATGAAGAGCTATAACACCTCGTGGTTAGAGTTGAGTTTCTTCGAAAGTCACAAGGAGTATACTCTTTCTGATGTTAGACATGTCGCAAATAATATAAAGTAACTAATAACCGATCGATTTCTCATGGCAGTGTTCGCAATCTAAATGCATCTTCAAATTATAGTGACTGCTTTTCTGTGGAAAAAGAACTACTGATAACACGAATGAGCGTTTTTACCCACTTACAAGTAACCAACATAGACGTGAATAAAGTTCGACATGGATGTTGTCACGCATTTGATAGTTGAAGCCGAACAAACTTAATATTATTTCGGAAAGGCTACTTGACTAGTTAAAGTTAATCTGGGAACCACTGTGTGATATGATGAAATAAAATGTCCGCCAAAATGCTGAATCACAACAAGATGTCACCACGTTACTATATTTGGATATTCTGATATTTGTGACAATCGGTTATTTGGCTTTTTCTACTCAAGTAGAAAAGTGTCATGACATAGACCTCCTTTCATTGATGTGCTAATTTCAGAGATATATCGAAACACAGTAGTGATGGTATTTTGTAATTCTCTAGTTGTTTAATTAAATTCAACAATAACATCTGTTGGATAAAATGATTTTACATAGATCAATCAATATTATTAACAAGTGATAAGATTTTGATCAAAGCTAATCAAATTGCAATTGATTGCTTATCTCTAGTGAAAATTAAATAAACTCTATGAAATTCTAAATAAAATGCATTGAGCTTCTTTACGTTACAGAAATTCACCATATTTAGTTAGGATAAACAGTTTTAATTGTGTTGTAAATAAAATAGATTTATTCTACTAACCTTTGATACTAATAGCATGGAAAATTTCATGACTTATAACCCAACCGATTGCTCCAAACTTTGTAGCTAAGTTACCTTCTTCATAGTAGAATGGAGGTTGCAAAAGTCCAGCATATATATAGACACAATTTTCATCTATTGTATAATAAGCTTTAGCCACATATGCCGGTGATATTTCTGATCTGTTGATACGAAAATATAATGAGATTTTGTTCATTTCAAATATCATTTTGCTTGATGGAAAATTTGAAATTTTCATACTTCATTAGTCACATTTTTTGTATGTTCATGGTGCGAAACGTTACAAATCTTAGTTTTATCTCATAATAAGTTGGGATACATTCGAAGTTACTTAACAAGTTGCCGAATGTAGCAGTTTCTTCACACAAAAATTATGTCATAATGAGAGTGTTAGTTTGTAACATGAAATTAAAGTGGTTGAATAAAATTAAGTTGCATACCTATTTCGTTGTCTGATTTGAATGTAAAATTTAGTACGTTTGTATTACAATTTGATGTGAACTATTATACTCCAAATGCTGGCGCTATTTCGTCACTTTCTACTGAACATTTATTTTAATTTGTAATTAGATTATTTAAAAAAAGTTACAAGTTACTTGAGTTTGTCTCTTTGATACACACCTATAAATTGGGCGCACTAACAAGCAACTTAACTAACGTATGAGTGAACACCTCCCAGGTTGAATTAGACAGATCCAGATATAGATGATACACAGCTATATACTAGAGCATCTGGTTGAGAGTGGTCACGTAGGAGATTAAAACTGAATCAATTGAAGTGGTCTGTTGCACACTTTGGTTGTTTCACGATCACAGATTCACTCCTTCTCCTACAGCAAATCGGAGCTATAAGGATACAAACATATAAACCAGGTTTGCATTCCAAAGGAGTTCGTAACAGCCCTGTCCAACCATTCACTAAATATAACTCAGTCGATGATCTGGTTGTTATTATTTCCATATACGGTTTTTGACTGTCATTTTTTCATCCTTACTATGTAATAAACTACACACTTTTGTTGTGTAACATTATCAATGGCCTGTGACTATTATTCTGATAATTGTTTTAGTCTATTTATCCTAGTTTGAACTACTATCTGCAATGTTGAGCTGTTGACTGAAACATCTCTTGATTTGCCATTACGTCTCAGAAAAATAAGGCTGATCTCTTTGAGCAGTCACCCTACTGTAATTTTATCTTATTCCCACATTACCACTGATACAAAGAAAAATATACTAATCCGAGTATCACAGTATGATTTAATGCCTTAGCAAATAGGAAAACTTATTCAATCACTTTTAAAACGGGGAAATATGTTCAGTGAAAACTTGAAATTTCAGACAGATCTCAATCCATGAAAGAGAGCTGAGGTATCACGAGGCGTATTTGTGTTAGTTTCCGTTATCGATTATTAGTATATCGAATAGCAACAAATATTCACTGTAATGACATTTATTTGTCTGCGGTTCATTGATCGGATAAATTGGTTTTTACACTCTTTTGTTTTTGAGGTTTCGCGTAAACATATTTATTGATATTGTTAAATCGGTTCACGAAATCAAACTCGACTACACGATATTATGCTTTGAGTTCAGTAGGAGTCAGCATTCGGAACGATTGTTTCGATTGAAATATGTTGAAATCTTTCTAGTCAAATATTCAAAATGATGATTGCTAATAACATATACTACCACTACTCCTACTACTACTCTTACTCTTATTACGACTACCACAACAACTACTACTACCACTACTATTACATCACGGCAACTTACGCTTCATAGTTGAATAAGCGAGTTTTCAAAATGTCAATATATTTGGCTTTACGGATGTAGAACTCGTTCAAATAGTAATTGTCTTCTTTCATCGGGTACTAAATAATATCAGTATGAAAAAAACGTTAGTTGGGGTTTGTGTAGGAAAATGTTTTAAACATGTTTTAATCATGCTGCTTTGAAATTTATCATGTATATATTTTTGAATCAGCAGCGACATTTTGTTTCCTGTTTTGCCTAAATTATGTGGTTGTATTAATAATCAAAGCCTAGATATGAAAATTCTGTTACTCGATAATACACATACAAGTTTTTACTGACATGCAATCATGGGCTATAATATTGCACATGCATCCAACTTATTGAATGTCAGTAAGATTGATGGATTTCTTTTGAGGATCAGTATAATTTAAGCATAAATCTTAACAGTCGGAGTTTTATTCTCTAAATCGCTAATCTGCTAAATATAAACATGAGTTGAAGTTTCCATGCCAACTACTGATAAAAGCTTTACCAAGTTTCTTAAAACGTTGAAAATATGTTTTAATTATATTAAATGACATCACTATTGAGTTCTACTCGCAATAGTGTCTCAAAGATTTTCCATGTTTCCTTCATAACAAACAGGTTTATTTCCTATACGAAAGGACTTGTGCATAGGAAGTGACTTCGGTATTACCTTAATTCTATAAATGAAGAATGTACGTTTTAGTGAATTCGCTTCAAGGTTACACGTTTATATATCAAAGTTAGTTGTTGAAAAATAACTAGGTTTCAGGCAAAATGCACGGTGTCAATTTAACATGTGAAGTTAGGTTTGATTGGGAAATAAAATAGTCAAAGTTGAAATGATTAATATGAACTGTTAACGTCGACGAGTTAATGCGTGAAATGAAACTGTGACATCACTGGTCAAAATAAATACGGGTCAGATATAGTTACGAAATTCGATCGAATGATAAGCGGATAATTTTATGAAAATTCAATAAGAAATATTACAATCAGTCGGTTATAATTGAATCGATCAGTTGTTTTGGAGATAAGTGGTGATGTTGAGCCAATATCAAAGATAATAATAACGCAAATCTATGTGAATAAAGATGATTAATACTTTCGACTAAGAAAGGTTGTATTTAAATTAGTCAACTTGAGTCCTGCTATAGTTAGGACAACTGTTAGTTCACTGAATCTAAAGTTGACATCCGTAAGAGAACTGGTTAATATATTTCTTTTGCACTGGTTTTTTTAATCCAAATGGCTTTTACCTTTACTTCTTGAAGAATTTTCAGTTGGAGCGATTTCGGTAATATGCACTTATATATATTATTATTGTTATTTTATATTTCAATAGTGAAACGACTTAGGTTCACTCACCTGATATATAGTTGAAAGATTTTCTTTTCTTTGAGAACTGTTTCGATCGGAGTACAAGGCAAATATGTCCATTACGGTGACCTACGATTTTTTTCAAAACAGTATTATCTCATCGAAATATAAACAAACCTTGTCTTGTATAAATTTCTTTTCATCCGCTTCCAACCATTCGATTTTTGAAATTGAGTTAAGTATAGTGCTTTTAATTTCACGGAACATAGTAATCACCTGTAATTGATTGAAAACAATTGAAGTTATTGAAACGTATGTTTTGTTCAAAATTTAATATCAACGAAATGATGGTATAAAAGAAAGAATTTATGATACCCGAGCGCACGTGTAGCTTAAATGTGCTCCCACAAAATTACGCATAAATTCATTCTCACTTTGTTGGGATTTTGAATAAGACCGTTTGTCTAACTGAAACTAGTTTGATGTTAAAATAGATTTGATCAATTCAATTTAACACATGTAGTAACTTCTGTTCGAATTCAAAAGAAGAATTTCACGACATTTGCGGGTAAGGTGTATGAGAGAAAAAGAATAGGAACATGTTTAAATGGTGTTATCAATTTGAATTATATAATAACCCTTATGTTTTGCATGGCGATGTTGTCCGGTCAGGATTTACTAACATAAAATGATTTTTTGAAGTGTATTCTTGCTGAACGATTATTGTCACGTGGAGATTCCGACTATAATATTTATGTGTACATAAACTTTTATGTGATGTATGTGCTCGTTATTACCTGATTAGAAAATCTTCACTGATGTTCACGGAAATCTAATCCAAACGCGATGCGACTCATCGACTGAAACTATAATTACCATCCAAATTTGTTTGCATACTTATTCACTATATAACTGTTTATGATCGAATTCTGGTGAAATAATGGTAATTATGATTATTTGTTCGAAGAGTCACAAATGATTCTTTTAAGAAAAGCTGTTTCATGTCAACCATTAAATTGTCTACAAGAATTTTTTCAAATTTTAATTCAAGGTAGAAATGATAAATGAGAATGGTCATTAAATAATTAGGTTTTTATCTCTGAAGATATTCAGAACTTATAACAAGATACAGTGTTTGTGTATTCACAAAATTGATACATTTAGGCAAACAATCTTTTATTGATTTGTCAAATCAAAGCTGAAGTAACTTGATAAGGTAGCGAAATTCTTCAGTTGATGAATTGACAAGTGCAGAAGTCGATTTTATTCATATGTTTTCGAAAAAATTTGCGGATAAATGTACCATGCAAACACCAAAGATTATTAAAATATTCCATGAACTTACCTCCGTTTTGTGCGTTTCATTTACATGTGAGTGAATATAATGTCTTTCAAGTGTCCATGGAAATCCATTCTTCACTCGACCTATGCATTGTGCGTCAAAACGTGGTCCTGTAGCTATTTCGAACAAAATAAAATAATGTTATAATGTGAAAGGGTGGAATAGATTTATGGAAAGTAAATAGACAAATCAACTTGTTTGTCAGTCAATGTAAAGTTCATCTTCATATTCTCTATTAAGCATATGAAACTGTCTCGTACTAAATTCGGTGGTTATATATCTAGCGTCGATTATTACATGTACATTGATTCATTCACTTGCATAGTTCAGTGCGAAATGGGTCAGTTATATGTTGAAATCGAGAGTTCACATCTGTGAAGAATACTTCGATCTAAAATTTAGACTGTTACCAGTTTGAGTAATTCTGTTTTCAAGAATATGCCTGAAAACGGCTCTAATTAACAAATCTACATCTGTTGACAGAATTCACTGAGTAGACTAAATTAGTTCCTGAATCCATAACATGAAATGAGAAGTTTGCTTGGACCAAAAACTGCTATTTTGTTGAATAATATTGTTTCCACTAATGCATTTTGTGGTGCTACCAGGCATTCATAATCAAATGGATGAGATCATATTGAGTCGCGTGTTGAGTGTATTCAACATCAATAGTGACGCCAGTTCATACAAGCCGAGACTGTTGTTGTACTTCGGAAT